TCGGGAAGATTGCCGATGACCCAGGTGGGCTACCCCGGAGCATCAAGCGATGATGGCAGCTCGGCATGTGTAGTTAGCCGAGGACCCGTCACCACCCGTCATGACCCGTCGACGGCCGGGAACGGGTACCCCGTCAGCCAAGGAACCGGACCCGGACCCGGCCGTCAAAATTGTGGCTTCAGAGGGCTGTACGGCCGGGCCGGCACCCGTCGTGACGGCTCGTTGACCCGTCATTTTGACGGTCGGGTCGGAGCCCTACATACACCCATCCTTTTCCTCCGCCTTTCCCTTCTTGGCTTCAGGGGGAGCCGCTACCATTTGTTCAACATTTTCCCTTCGACACTTCCCGTGGATTACCGTCACCATTCCACCGTTCTCCGTGATCCCCTTATCACATATCTCGACATCCCCACGATACCTATACCACGACAACTTCTCTGGCCCCAATAGAATTACGCCCGCAACGGTTACGAGCATGGGAGTCCCCGTAATCACGAGGTGGGAGTCCACCTGCGTGAGGGACGTGCGAGCCGGCCGCAGGGGAGTCCCTAGCCGCCACGAGGCTGCACAGCTGCTAGCATTCCATCAACTCGGGAGCATACGCGTGGATGATTGAGGGGGAGTTGGACTTGTCTCGGGTGGCTCGTCAAGGGGGAGTGTTGGGAATTTGGGTTTCTGGCATGACATGCTTCGCCACCCTCGAGAACCTTCTGGAATATTCCCTTTTGCTGACTGATACAGTTTCTTAGATTTTTGTAGAACATTCTAGTTACATTGTAAAGTAGTATATAAGCCTGCTGAAATGTAGGCGTTGGGTATCCGTTTGCCCTAACGCATCTTACCTTAACTGGCTTGCGATTGCAAACTTGGAATCAGTTCAACACGGATCAACACGCTGACGGCGTAAATCCCAACACCATCATCTCCCGGACATCCGCTCAAAAATGGGTCTCGCGCTTTTGGAACTCTGACGAAAACTCGGTCCATTCCTGTCTCCGCTATCTCTGTGGGGCTTTCACTCTCTTTCTGCTCCGATCTTTCTCGGAGATTTCACGGGTCGCTAAGACTCGCTCTGTGTCGACTGGGTCTCCGGGTCCTTAGACGTCTCCCTCAATGAAACATCTAATAACATCGTCCTACACTCCTATCAGCCCCCAACAGTCCGTCGCGTGTATCAAGTGTCGTCCCATCGTCCCGCCAGCGCACAAACCTTCAGCCGGAAAGTCCTCCGGGCTACATGCTGTAAACCCTCGGATAACTCGAAGCAGGGTCCAACACGTGGATTGTTCATACAGGAATCTGCTTCACTTCGCTTCGGCTCCTCCGTCGCATTCCACGAGAATCCGTACCCGATATTACTCTGCATCATCCCCACGCCCTCCGGAATTTCGTACGTCCCAAGCTGGATGGGCGAGGAGAGCAGACCATAAATCAATCGACCTTATCAAGCTCCCCGTCTTACTCCGAGTACGTTCTGCTCCGTCTCGTGTCATTACATACGGAGAGTTGGATATGACAATGACCGTTCTATTCCGAGTCCGTCTGTATCCGATGCTCAAGTATGTTGTACTTCCAGCAAGTTCAACTTCCTCTGCAACGTCCCCACTCGACAATCCTCGTCGAAGATCCGAGCAGAATGAATGGCCAATTTTATTGAGCCAAGGAGAGCGACGGTTCAATTTTCGTTTGCCATCAATTGCACACAGTATTATTTCTGTCTCGTCCACCCTACTAATAAGCAACCACCGCCTCCGCATTCCATCCGCGGATGCGGAAGTTGCAGATGTGATCCAAAGTCTTAGATCATGCCCCTTTCTGATGTTTATAAAAGGAGGCCTCTTCAAAATGTCTCTTCCCACCACCCCTCCCCCACACTCACGAGGGTTACCCATGTCGACCTCCTTCTCAAGCACACATCGCAGGACCACATCAACGGGCACCGCCATTCGAGTAGTCATCCCCTCGCCGTCTCCGCCCCCTGGCAACTCCGGCCCCGGAGGAGAACGGATACGGCTGGACCGAATGACAGATTTGCCGAGCCTCCAAGGACGTGCCGGCGTCGATGCCGACGCAGCCGTTCTCCCAAAAACCATCGCGCTGCCGCCGAAAAGCCTACAACTCAAGAGCGAGTCGAGGAGAGTGTTTGTACGATCCTAGCTGACAATATTGTACATGTACGTTCGTCGTGTTGGATGCCGGATATTCGGAGCTGACGGCATCACAGCGAATACTACCTTGATTTGCCTTTGTATCGTTAACACACTGGGTTGTTTTTGTGTAAAAGAGATGTTATCTGTCTGTTCGGCTGCGAATCCCCTCTCTAATCAATAGGATACGGCAATGATTGATTGCCGAGTTCAAAAGGCAAGCTCGACCCCACCTCGCCGCGCTCCGTCGAAGTTATATTCGTAGCCATGAATCCTAGTCCATACGGCCTTGAATATTCATCTGTCATGAGTCTCAGCGCTGTGGGAAAGCATCAAACCGACGCGTAGATATCAGTCGGAGACCTTTTCAGCCCGTTTTACCGAATCGCCGTCGAGTAGTAGCATCGGCCAGATACCAACATGATATGTACCTTACGGCTCGGGCGCTGCTCTGCAAGACGGAGAAAACCGACGCTATCAAACAAGTTACAAGAGAGGCTTTCGGATAGATATTTTTTGAGAAAATTGGCCCAGATTATCCATTGTATTGTGCCGCGTTATAACCCATGGCACCGCACACACATGGCCCCGGTAGCGGGCAAACGCACTGACTAATCCCCAGGGAAGCGTAAGCAATTTGGGACTGACAAAGTGAAGGAGGGCACGTACACCCAATCCCGTTGAGGAGGCCATCTCTGGTCGTAGCCCTGCGAGTTGTAATTCGCGCCCGAGCTGGCACGCGCCCACGGAGTGTGATCTCCGCCGTGTTGGAGCGTAACACCGTCTGTGCCCGAGGGATAGTATCTTCCCATCGGCCCGTTGTTCATGGGCTCGTATGATGGGCTGGGAATATGTCCATTGTCGGGGTCGAAGTTTGTTACAGCCTCATATGACTCCGGTGGGCGCCAGCCTGAAGTTGAGGGACCAGGCACAGAGGAACCGGCGGAGCCCACTGGGAGAGCGTCTCCACCGACAGCTGCAGGTGCCCAGTTCAGGACCATGCCATACTCGCCCTCTGGCCTCGTCGGATTGGCACTTGTCGTTTCCGGTGGGTGAAACCCGGAGCTGATTGCGAATTCACATTTCAGCCCCTTCTTCGCACATCGTACGCAAGGCTCGGACCAGTCGTGTTCGGATGCTCTTTGACACTGTGGTAGACGGAGTACTGAGACAGATAGACAGACAGATCTGGGATGAGGTGTGCTCACCTTGACTTTGCGCTTCCTACAGGAAATGCATGCTGAATACGCTCTTCGACCGCTTGCGGGAGGTGCTGTTGTAGACGAAGACATGGTCTCGCGTGGAGTCAGAGCAACATCATTTTATACCGAGTGAGCTTCCATTGTCGTAAAAGCGCTATTCACAAGATGGTTACAAACACCGCTGGAAATCGGATGTATGATCCATAGGATCGCGCGCAAAACCGACCGTGTATTTAGCATCGGAAAATATTCATCCCGATGACAAGAGACCGAAGTGTGCCTGTACTCTTATGATTGCGATACTTGTCGTAGCCGAGGATGCCCGAGACATGTGGAATTTGTTTCAGCCCCAAATCGCCAAGGACGCGGGGAGGTGAGTCAGTGCGGTGAACTCGCGAGAAGATAGCTAGGAAGATAAAATACAACATACTGAATATTAATATCTAGAGCTTCGAACGCTCCTCATCGTCCGAATCAGCAGCCACCGACGGAGGCGCGGTCGCGTACTCTGACCCACTATCCTCCTCCTCCTCCTCTCCCGACTCCAAATTCCAACGCGACGACGCACCATACACCGGTCTCAACAGCAACCCACCCTCCTCCTCCTGCTGCCCGAACGTACTAGCCCCATCCTCAGTGTACTCGGTGGTATACTCCGTGTCCGTATCGTCATCCTGCCTGCCCACACCGCATCCACTTTTCTTGACAAGCAACGCGCCAACGCCGATAGCTCCTGCGCTGAGAGCTTGTACGGGCACCGCCGCCACCGCGATACCGCCCATCGTGGCTGCTTGTGCCATGGAGAATAGGGAGCCGCTGGCAACTGCGCCGCCGTAGACTGCAGACTGTATGCCCGCGGCAATGGAGCCTGGTTTTGAATCGACATTATCAAGTATTATTCCAGAGGGAGACAGATGTGCACGTACCGCTGACGACGCCTGTAGCACTAAATCCCAGGAGGTTCAAGGTCCCTACGAGGACTGCTGGTGCAACCGTGATACCACCTACGGTGACGAGTCCGATACCAGCCGCTGCTGCTGCGTAGGGATGGTCCCTTCGGAAGCGGCGGAGTTTGTGTCCAACGGAATGTGAGTCTAAGGACGATATAAGTAGGATTCAAGCATGCAACAAAAATAAATGTGGCACTGACGTTCAGCCTCGTCCTGCCTCATTTTCTCTTCCCGGGGGCGTGAGACGTCTGAGATATCCGCCGAAAATAATCCCAGATGACTCACTTTGAATATACACCAAAGCCATTGTCAACGTGTCCCACTCCCACTTCTCCATCCCCAACGTCCTCCTCGCATCGTCCAACACCTCCCGGGGCTCGTCAGCCATGAAATGCAGCGCGATGACGACCCAGTGCTCCTGCGGGATTTTCCTTTGTTTGAGGCCCAGGCGGATGGCGCTGAGCCAGAGTTCGACGTCATCTTGAGGACGGCCGTTGAAGATGGGTGGATTCCAGCCTGTGAGAGCAGCAAGGATGTCTGGCTGTGAGGGTGGCATGGTGAGAGGAGGCAAGGGCGATTAGGCGCCCATCACGGAGATAGAGCGCAGCCAATAGCAGAATGGCAACACAATCTCGACCGTTTTGTGTCAAGCAAACCAGGGGACATTGAAAGTGGAGAGAGGCCCAACAAAAATGTACCCATGGCCATCGTGGAGGTCGAACCCAAGACCTTCGCGTATAACACTTCTAAGATGAGAGACTCTAATATTAGCACGACGCTCTAACCAACTGAGCTAGACGGCCTGGTGACACAAGTTTTGCCCAAGGGATCACATCCCGACTGGCCACGAAAGACGGAATCCTGAGGACCGAGGTGCCAAATGTCGACTCTCAGTCTGAACATCGCACCATCAGTCGCTGATCTGCCGTTGAATTTCCTTCGCCATGACCCTTTTCCGGAATATTAATCTGACCCGAAAAAAGTGAGGTTGCAGCATGATTTCGCATGGAAATTAGCAGCGATAGCGATAAATATTCACAAAAAAGATGGGTACATTTGGAACATTATAACAGCCTATCCCCAAGGCGCTGTTCGCAACACCATGGGTTGCCGTGGCCGCAGGCACCGCAAAGACTGGATTGAACTTGGCATGAACATTCATCACAGCGTGAAGTATGGAAGGAGCGCACATAGCAGTGTCCTACTTAGCTGCGGTCGAATTACCCACCCCACGCGTAAAGAACGAGGGTGCATCGGTGGTCTTGACTTCAGCGAGTGATTCATCACCAAGCACACAGTCCAATGCCACTCCAGACTGCCTAGTAGGCCTCCAGATCGACAATACCCGTTGAACCGGAGAGCAGTGAAGTCGCTTGAGACGCGTGGGGTGGAAAGTAGACGCCAGCGGAGTTTGAGTAAGGTCATGAACAACCCAGAGATTCTCCAAGTCGCAGAGGCACAGATTCCGCACAGATTTCTTGAAAATAGACGGCGTAGCCAGGATGCGGGCGAAATTGTCGTCATTTGAGCAGCCCGGTGTCGCCCTCCGTTCCGGCGTCATTCATTGCGACTTTGCTTGTCGTGCCGTGAATTGTGCAAGTGCTAACTGCTATCCGCTAAAGAACGTGATGCAGGGAGATCGCCCAGTAACCAGTCGGGATTGCTTCGGCAACCGATGTACGTGATCGTTGGCCTGTTGAACAGATTCATCCAGTGGAGATGTCTCCTGGGTTATGCACTCAGCAGATAAAACACGACTCCCTTCCCTGTATTTCGTCCCGAATCGAACCGGAGTTCGAGATCACCTCCACTCTGAGAGCGTGATTTCCTGTAGCAAAACTAAATCATTCATCTGCCGCCCACCGTCCGTCGAAACTGCCGGATCACCACAGTCCCCAAGAAATTCCCCGCCCTCTCCTCAGCAAACGCACGCCAGCCAAGCCTTTCATACATCCGCCGTGCCCCAGGTTGCAAGTCACTCGTCTCGAGGTCGAATTCCCGCAAAGCTGGAATGGACTCGGCGTAGTCAATCCAGACTTGCATGAGCCGCGCAGCAATACCCCGCCGACGATGCTTGGGAGAGACGATCATGCGACGGACATGTGCCGTGCGTGTGTCTTTCTCGGGCGAATAATCTGTCGGTATTGAGTCGGGCACGGGACTTTTCATGAGGGACCCGAGGACGCACCTAGCCCGACACCCCCAATGACTTCCTCTCCACCATTCTCCCTCGACTGCACAGCGACCCAAAACATCGCAGGAGCTTTATAGTACTCCCCGATATCTCCTAAATCCCCACGCATGACCTCATCACAAAAGCCCAGCATTTCTCGCGTGATATAATATCTCACACCAGCGAACAGAGCGATGCCCGCAGTACAGACCAGGGTGCCGGTCCACCGCCAACGCGTACTCGGCCCTGAGACAACTCCCATTCCGAGACCCACACCGCCCAGGAGGTACGCGATCAAGGACGCCGGCTGAGTCAGAAAACGCCGTCTCCCGACAGAAGCAACGCTCCCCTCTGAAAGTGAGTCAGGATGTTGAGCAGATAGCGGGATGGAAGGGAGGAAGAAAGTAATTAGTTAATTAGTCGGGCTCACTCGAGCCTCTTATATACTACACATACAATATTCTAGAATGTTCCATCAAGTTCCGGCGGCCTCTACCAGATGGTCGAGGCGTCGCATCAGCTCCATGAGCTTCCGCCAACACTCCCCCTCGACGACACGACCGTCGACAAATCAACACATCATGGGAATTGAACTTGGCGTTCAATTGAGTTGGAGCGCGTGAATTTCGTTGTTTGCGCAGTGGGTTGACCGCGTCTCGCGTGAGAGTAATAACCATGCCCGTACAAGCAAAGTCTGTGGTTGTAAGGTGCGCGCGAGTTCATTTGCCAGTGATGATGTTGGCAGTATTGATATCACTGCTAATATCATGCGGAGCCTTCGCGGGAGGTGATGGTGCACGAGAAGAAGGCGGTGCAGGCGTAAGCGGAGAAGAGGGATTGGAGTGCGGGTGTGGGGAAGATCCCTCGTCGGAGTCAGAATTCATCAGCGGCGCGAGATCGCGATATGAAATTTTGGATTGATCCAGAGGTTTCTGCGAAGTCTCCCCCTGCGACTGGCTTCTCCTCTTGCTATTCTCCCCCTCAGACACAGGAGGGGACGGAGCATGCCTGGGTACATAGTAGTATCCGTCGTCGTCGTCGTCCACGGCAGAGGGTTGAATTTTCTGAACTGCGCGCGGGTTCTGGGAAGATGAGAGTGATGAGGAGGGGACCACGCGAAGTCGGTACATGTGGTAGATTTTGTCACCAATGGCAACGAGATGCCCATGGCGCGAGAAAATCTCTATTGTGTTGCCATGGAATTCAACTTGATAGCCTGCATCGGTCATCCGTCCGAGAGAAATGAGATTGAACGGTGCATCAGGGCAATGAACAACATGCCGAATGGTGCAGGGACGAGCGATGTCACCCAGAACTGTTGAAAGGGTGATAGTACCCTTGCCGATGCCGGCACAACTCCCGAAGCCCTCGATGGTATGCTTGCACGGCGTATATTTGGTGAAATGCTGTTTATTACGAGCAATCGAGCGGCTACACGCACTATCAAGTAGCCAATCATCCGGCGAAAGCTTCTCCTTCGGCTGGGCTGGAAATGCGAAGTCAGAATCTGAACTTGACTCAGAGTCCGAATAGTCGGCAACGTGAGACCGAGAGGATTTGTGGCGGCGAGGTGGACGACCTGAGTGGCCCTCAGAGTCGGAATGATCGGCATCACGGCGAGGATGTGGTGCTCTGCAATGAGCAGCAATGTGGCCGGAAATGCCGCAGCGAAAACAGGCAGGCGGGTATTGATGAGCTGCCGGTAATGCCGTGGACTGCGTGGCGCGTTCGTTGATACGCGCAACTTCGGATAGAATCCGAGCGATGACCTTCGACGAGTCGGCAAGAATATCCTCGGGGACAGAGGAAATGAATGGGTTCCAGGAATCTGGAAGGGACGTGAGCAGCGTGACTGAGAAATCAGTCTCGGTGATGACCTGCTCGAGGGATGTGAGTTCGGCTTGGTACGAGCGCATCAAGCGGATGTGCTCCTTGATATCGCCGTCCTCGGGACAGTGGGCGCGGAAGAACTTGCGCCGAGCTAACACAATGCCGATGGGACCTTTGGCTTCGTACATCGTGCGGAGTGTCTGCCAAGCCTCCTTGGCGGATGTGGCGGCCGAGATGTAAACGAGTACATCGTCAGCAACGCGCAAACGGAGGGCAGAAAGCGCCTTACGGTCGCTCTTCTTCCAGGTAGCAGCCTGGACGGGGTCACTAGGAGCGGCGGCCGAGTTGTCGACGTAATCGTCAAGTGAGAGGTCTGTCAAAATGTCGAGCATCTTGACTTTCCATACGCCGTAGTTGTCGGCACCCTGTAAAGGGTCAATACGATAGGCGGAGGTGTGGTTGTTGGACATGGGGTGCGGAGGAAACTCAACGCGAACTGGGTAACGGCGGGAAACAACGGGGATGCGGATCAAGCCCTAACGAGGGGATACGACGCGGAACGACCAAAAACGATGAGCGGATCAAGCCCGAACACACGGGGATACAATGCTGGTGAAGACGCAAAAACTCCAAAACTGGTGGTGGTGGTAGCGGATCAAGCCCGTCACGGGGATGCGACGCTGGGAAAACACGGAGGAGCGGATCAAGCCCTAAGCGAGCGAAGCTCAAGCGAAAGGGGATACGACGCTAATAAAACACGGGGTGGTGAATCGAAATCGGGTACGGGGTTTAGTAGCGGGGCGCGGGGCCCATAACCTGTTGAGCAGATAGCGGGATGGAAGGGAGGAAGAAAGTAATTAGTTAATTAGTCGGGCTCACTCGAGCCTCTTATATACTACACATACAATATTCTAGAATGTTCCATCAAGTTCCGGCGGCCTCTACCAGATGGTCGAGGCGTCGCATCAGCTCCATGAGCTTCCGCCAACACAGGACCCGTCGCTCAAATTCTCCGCAGTCGACTGACCACCGGTAGCAAAGGCTTCCAGGAAAAGTGCTCGGATTTGAGGGGAGTCGCTGGCTCGGTGTGGACGGATGTAGTAGGACGTTCGGTTGGGCGGCGGGTTGGTGTCTTTGGCCTGGTGGCCCATTGGGTGGACGTGGGAGAGGAAAAAAGATGCTGCGGATTTGACGGTGATGGTGATGTCGGATAACTCTGGAACTGATCGGTATACATCGGCGACATTAGTACTCGGCCTTCGTGAGTGGAAGAAAGTTCAAAGCGAGTTGGACGCCACACTGGGATGAAGGTTAAACATTGGACAAGGGAATCACCTTCACAGAGAGACTTGAAGGCTTCGCCTCACGCGCCGTACAAGAACAATCGCGATTGAAGCAGGCCTACATAGCATTCAAGTGAGCAAACCAAATCGGATACGTATACAGCAACCAGATGGAAGTCGCGCAGAAAATACACAACTCGAAAAAACACAGCAAGATGAGAATTAGGAAAGCAAGCGATTGGGCGAACGTCACATAAGGAACCTGTGTCGCGTATCCTAGACGCCGATGAATCAGCAGTCCCATCTAGGAGCAAGAATGAACGTACAATGGGATGAGAACTCCCTAGCTGAGGATGCTGTGAGTATTTTTTCGCCAGTATCTCTCTGGCGCGATATCCATGAGTCGGTGACGACGAGGTAAGGGAGGAGAACGCACCGCATATTGTCTATCAGATCCTTGAACGACTGTTTGGGATGCATCTCTTCCAGGTTGGAATGAGCGTTCTGCGAGCCGAGG